CTTTCTGCTTCAATTCGTCTCGGATAGCTTGGAAGTTGCCACTCTGGTCAAACCGCTTACAGATTTCACGATGTTTGTCGCGGTATTCACGGTATTTCTTCTCCATCCTATTGAAAATAGTTTTACGCCTTTCCTCCCGGCGAGCACTCTCAATCTCCAATATGATGGTCTAAAAAAACAACAAAATAAAGAAGGAAGAGAATCAGTCTATCGAAAAATAGTGTGCAAGGCATAGAAACTGGAAAGGGCGGAAGACTTACTCTAAGGGCGAGGCCGGCTATGCCCGATAAAAAGGCGGCATCGCTCAGATTCATGAGGGTCTTACCCTCTACATTGGATTAAAGGGGGCCCAAGGAAGGGACCACTTCCTCGGTGTTCACTAGCAGGTCGTGATCCATGGGGATCACGATGGTACGAGTGGACCCTTCCAACCTCACTTCCACCCGAGCGAACCCCTCACTCAGCATCCACACCTCTTGGGAGTCAATATCACAGACGGTTTCGTAGCCATCCTCGGCAATGCCTTTGCCTTTCACCTCGGCCGACGAGGGAACATCAACCGATACCGGGGATAGCGGCTTACTTCTCAATACGCTATCGCTGACCTCCATGGACGGCCCCTCAACTTCAAGAAAGGTTGCACCTTCTACCACTCCCGTTGATGACGGAACTCCAGATGATGGATTCGCATCGCTTTCAGGTGCAGTGGCGATTGGCCCTTGGCCGTCCCTTGTAGAGTCTACTTCCCGAACTGTACCATTGCCAACATCCACCGATCTTCATTTTCGTGGATTCAAGCCTTCTCCGCTCGACGATGACTCATCCATTAAATGCAGCACAAGAAAAGCCGACATCCTAGATACTGAGCCGCCGAAGGCTGAGTTGGTCGCACCGAAACCCGAGGTCGAAGGGGGGAAGACGGCCGGGCAGGTTTGGATGCGGTTGCAGTTGGGACGGGATCTGTTGTGCCGACCGCCTGACGGAATGCAAGAGTAGGAGAAGGTCAGGATCAACTCCCGCACAGGTAAAAGGCGACCTACAAAAATTATTTATGATGAAGACAATCTGACTTACCGGGAAGCTTAGGACCAAACTTATTGCGGAAGGCAGACCATTCGCGGATCCCCGCTGTATGAGGAAAGACTCGGCTAACCCGCTCGTGAATATCTTCGACCAAAGGAGGGGGTTCATCCTCTGCTGCACAACCGTACAACCAAAGTCGACCAGCACAAAATGCAATAGAAGAAAAAGGTGCTTACGTGCATAGTTCCAAATCTCAGTAAATCCGCTTAAATTTTCCACCACATCCTCGGTTTTGACGTAGAAGTAGTGGAGCCAAAACTGGCGGTTGTCCATTTTTACCACAAGACACTTGCTGCCCCGGCGGCGAAGATATAACAGTCCCCCTATGGAAACTGGGAGCAAAGAGATGAATCAAGTGACGGATGGTCACCTCAACCCTGGCCAACTCTGCGAACTTCAAAATCATGCGGATGAGCTTGTAGATATAGGGGGAGAGTTGAGTCGGGCACACCCGGTAGTAGCGGCAAAAGTCTTCGTCTAGGTGAAGGATAGGAAAAAAATAACCCACGAAGAAGGGGTATGCGTATAAGGCGTCGTACCCAGGGCGGTGTATTTTCACCACGTCATGCCCCGCAGGGATGAGGTCTATATGGGCAGGAATTTCAAATCTAGCCCTAAACACAGCAATGGTCGCCCCCTCCATCAATGACTCCGAAATTTCGGGGTCATCTTCGGGCAACTTGGAGAAGTCAGACCTAGCCTTCTCCCTACAGGGGATTATCTCCTCCACCGTAGGAAAGCTGTCATCTTCAGCAACCATGGACACCCCATCATCATGGGGAGGCATGCGAACTGCCAGGGGGACTAGATCAGGTATTCCCTCTGAATTAGTTGGGTTAACCATTTTTGTTCGTTGTGATACGGAGAAGGTGCAAGCACAGAGGAGGTATAAGCAGCAAAAATTATCAGGTACGGTGAAAATAGGGATGCAAGAATGAAGGTAACAATAGCAGGAACATTGAAAGAAGAAGGAAGAGATGAAGATTCAGCATTTGAAAAGCACAAGAATCAAGCAAAGGGTCTTGCGTCCCTATTTATAAGAGCCAGGGCACCATAATTGAGAATACAAACCGTCGATGCCTAGCACAAATATCGAAATGATATAGGCACGGGAAACGGCACAACACATCAGGAAAACGCATAATAATGACGCATGGTATCGTGACATCACTTTGAAGCGACGTAATGGTAAGTTATGGCTCACGAAGCGCCACGTTATCATCTCGCCCAGAGCGTTACCACTCGACCTGCTCGCCTAAATTTTTCAACCACGACTAGCGAAGTCCGCTCATCGAGGTCATCCAAGAGACGGCCCCGATAAGCGGAGAGACTAACTGTATGGGTCAAAATCTGTCTAAGGGCGTTCGACGCAAAGTGATGTTGCCAAATGTAATTTGGCTGAGGTCGACTAGTAACTAATAGGACTCATCGCCGAGTAGTCGATCATGGCCGAGGTCAAGCATCAGAAGGAGCAGTAACGGCTAGTTTAGCAATAGGATCTTTAAGAGAATATTCCGTAAGATATTCCTTGTACTTGTACTTTTTAGGGTTAACTAGGGGTGTATCCCTATAAATGGAAAGAGAGATAAGGAAAAAAGCATGTAATATTCTCTAATAAGAACACTCTTGAAAAGTAGACTCTCTCTAGATAAATACAAACATCACCTTTCTAAAGATATTCATTTTTGTTGGTTATTTTATACTTTTCCCATCAGATCCGAGAAAGTCTCCGATATTCTCATATTTGTCTGTCATTCATCATTGTCAGAAGGAAGAATCATCCACCTCATTCAATATTGAGTGAATCATTTTCCTTATTTACTTTAGTGTCATTTATTGTTATTTAATGCTTGATATTCTTCCCCCATTATTGATATTGAAACATTAAATACGCGCTGCATTTATTCTCTCCCAACACTGTTCAACTTCATCTATATAGACTAATTATAGAACTGAAGTTATTATGGTTACCCCTCATTACATATAATTAATTAATTTAACCAAAAGTTTACATTTTTTGGTCAAACAAGTAAGGCACTCCATGAACTGTTAAAACATATACACTAATACACAATTCAACATAAAATCATACTGCGATAATTTTAGAACTTTACATCATCACTTAAAGTTATGGTTAAAGAGAATTCTTTTACAAAGGAAAGGTGAAAGAAAACAGAAAGAGATGGGAAGACAATAACGGTTTATTGAGTATCATACTAGCGTTTTGAACACGCCAAACCACATGCAAAGTCATATTCGTAACTAGACTTAAAAGGACCTTAGCTACATTCCTTGTGTCTTTATTTCCTTGTTTGTCTCGCTCTCTTTTCTTTTATTTGTAATTTTAATATAACTACAATAAAATTACACATTGATCCTGTCTAATTTAAAGGGAAACTAAGTGCCATTGATAACCACGTTTTTCTCTTATAATGTCAATTTAAGAGATCGTAGAGCTCATGCAGAAAGTGAAGAAGCTTTAATATTCTACCAATCGAGCATATTTGCCTTTTAACAAAAGAAGAAACCAAAAATTGATGTACTATGCTAATAACGTGATTCCTTTCTTCAAATATTCCAACCATCGACTTAAGTAAATAAGAGAACAAATTAAATACTTACTTTTTCGCAATTTTTTTCTTTCTTAGAAGAAAAGAACTTGGGTGTCATTAATGAATTAGATCTCAACTTCCATAACTATTATCCTGCTATTTTAATCGACCAACATCCTTTGTGATAATTAGATTAGCATGCAGTTTGATATTCATGCCAATCGCCAGTTCTACTTGCCAAAAATTAGCCCATATATTGGAAATTAAAGAGAATTTAGGAACAATATAGTTGTATAAAATAGCCCATATATTGGAAATTGAGGAGAATTTAGGAACATTCTACTTGTGAAGGGGACGTTCTATTTGTTACCATGTCCCTACCAAACTTTTGTCCCTTCCTTAAGGTAAACTCTTGCGAAGTGTTATGCCATTTTCACTTCGTAGTTCCGACTCACCACGTGAATATTTTTTGCCAAAGTACTCAAATATATCCAATCTGGTAGTTGATGGCGAGAGAAGGATCCCTCATTATTATACCCAACTCAAGTACTCAACCATAAAGAAAAACTACTAACTAAAAAGTTAGAATGTCATCTCATCATAAAGAATTGTGGGGTTATTTATATGAATTTAACGTATACTCCATCATTTACATGCAAAACTTTTAATTTATACTATCAGTGTAATTTAACATGTTATAGTAAATTATATAATTACTGCTATTGTTGGAGCTATTGTTCCTTTGGTGATTCGAACTCTATGATCCTAGGGTTGTAGGCAGAGGCATATTCAGAATTTAAAGTTTATGGGTTCCTATAGCGACATTAAGTAAATGTATAATAAGTAGTTGAGTTCACAATCAGATATTTACGGATATTTAGTGAATTTTTAATACATATATAAGGTATATGCAAAAGTTTCTTGGGTTCACGGGAACCCACTAGTAATGGGCTGGATCCGCCCCTGGTTGTAGCCGGGATGCTGACCATTATGCAACCCCTCTTGTCCATTTCTAATTCTACTAATTACCTGAAGTAATCATTTACAATAGATTTGATAATGTAAAAAGTTACTACTCCGTATATATTGAAAATGAGATCTCTTTGTATGTGTAAGTCTTCAGCGTAGTCCAAATTAAATGGCTTCGAGTCGGTTCTTTGAAATGACAATCTTGTCATGACCTGGAGAAAATTAAACAGGGATAATTAATGATCGTTGGAATGTTATAGTCAGATATGAAGGACAAGAGAAAAAAGAACAAAAACTGGCTGCGTGCATAGTACTATTACCAAGTCGTTGCTTCAAGTTTCAGAAAGGCCAACAGCAATATAAATAGAGCTAAATGAAGAAATGAACAACCAGTTGTTGGTTCTTTGTACAAAAGAAACTCATAACATTTCTCATCGACTCATATATAATTCCAAATTGCTACTTCTTCCTTTTATTACACCACTTTATTTCTACAAAAAAACTAATATTATATTGTGATCCTGGCAATATCATCTTATTAATTCTACTCATTTTTGGAAGTGGGAAACCAGATAAAAGATTGTGTATGTAAAGATCATATATAGACCTTTTTTTTGCTATAACAAATTAAAATGAGAGGTTTGATCGCAGTAGCTGGCTTATTCTTAGTTGCTCTCATTCCTCATGCAGGTGCTTCAAGTCAACATACTCGTTTCGTATTCATTTTCGTTCTTTTCAAATTTTGTTTTCGTTTTCTCAAACAAATATTTGTTAGAATGCAGCTGCCTTTGATCCATTAGATCCCAATGGGAATATCACCATCAAATGGGATGTTATGTCTTGGACACCTGATGGTTATGTCGTAAGTTTCCCTTAAATTTGGATTTAATCTATAATACACTATCATATTTGGACACTTAGCTTATATATGCAATTATCTTTTACGTGACCTAACCTGATGGTGAAAATTCTTTTGTACTGTCATTGTATAAAAGTTAAACCATTTTTAATTTTCTGTCTCATAGTTTTGGCAATTGAGTTTAACTTCAACGTACATACATATAGTGTAGACGAGATCAGGTCGCTTAAAAGGTAATAACAGGTAGCCGTGAGATTAGTAACCTAGAATATAGGCGATTTACCTACTGCAAAGTTAAAATATTAAGTTAAATCCTTTGGGTGCAAGTGGTTTCCTACCTAGATGAGAATATATTTTGACACCTTATGTATGATGTGCATGGAACATTTGCAGGCAGTGGTAACAATGAACAATTTCCAAATGTACAGACATATCATGACCCCTGGTTGGACCTTAGGATGGACATGGGCTAAGAAAGAAGTGATCTGGTCTATGGTGGGTGCACAAACCACTGAACAAGGTGACTGCTCTAAATTCAAAGGCAACATCCCACATTGTTGCAAGAAGAATCCCACTGTTGTCGATTTGCTCCCTGGAGTTCCTTATAACCAGCAATTTACCAATTGCTGTAAAGGTGGAGTGTTGGCTTCTTGGGGCCAAGATCCTCAATCTTCTGTCTCTGCATTCCAAATCAGCGTTGGCCAAGCCGGTACCTCGAACAAGACCGTTAAACTTCCTAAGAACTTCACTTTGCTTGGTCCTGGACCAGGCTACACTTGTGGCCCTGCAAAGATTGTCCCTCCTACCAAATTTTTCACACCTGATCTTCGTCGAAAAACTCAGGCCTTAAGTAAGTCATGTTCGTCAATAAAATTCAAAAGTTAATTTCAAGTATGGTCATTGAACTTTATCCACTAACCACTTACCCTTTTGTAGTGACGTGGAATGTAACATGCACATACTCCCAGTTTCTAGCCCGAAAACACCCGAGTTGCTGCGTCTCTCTGTCAAGTTTCTACAATGAAACCATCACTTCTTGTCCTTCTTGTGCTTGTGGTTGTGAGAACAAAAACAAATGCATCAAGTAAGTCTCTACTTTTGGACATCAATTAGACATACACTAGAAGGAGCACGCACACAAAAAAAGGGCAGCCAGGTGCATGAAGCATCCTGCGTTCACACAGGGTTCGGGGAAGGGCCGTACACCAAGGTGGTGTGTTATGTAGGCAACCTAGCCACCTGGGCATCTTATGGACAACGGCTCGAATCCGTGACCTATAGGACGACTTTACTGTTGCTCCAAGGCTCCCCTTCTAGAAGGAGCACAAAGATTTGATTTTTAATACTATTAATAATATCTTATGACAAATATATAGGAGCGACTCCAAGCTACTGAGTGCGGTTGGGATAAACACTCCAAGAAAAGACAACGTACCACTAATACAGTGCACGCACCATATGTGCCCAGTTCGAGTGCATTGGCATGTCAAGCTCAACTACAAGGATCACTGGCGAGTCAAGCTTTCTGTAACCAACTTTAATTACAGGATCAATTACACACAATGGACTCTTGTTGTACAGCATCCAAATCTTAACAATGTAACACAAGTTTTTAGCTTTGATTACAAGCCTCTCGTTCCCTATCAATCCATCAGTAAGTTCCTGATCTCTTTGAAATACTCTACGTATATATACGACATGATTAGAGGTGCCAAAATCAACCCAAATATTATGTAACTCGCCCAATCCAACCAAGTTTAAACAGATTAGGTTATGACTCCTTTATAGACTTACTCTTGAACGGTTTAAACCCGACCCGAATTACACATATAGGTGTGTTGAAGTATGACCCATTGTTTGACTCATCTTGATCAAATTAACCCATTGGATTGTGACATGTTTATTGATTTGACAGTTTCGACCTGCATAAGTTTGACCCAACTCGTCCATTCGCCACCCTTAAACAGGATTATGATATATGGCTAAATTCATTTGCAGATGACACAGGAATGTTCTACGGCATGAAGTTCTTCAATGACCTACTGATGGAAGCAGGGCCATCTGGGAATGTTCAATCAGAAGTTCTTCTCCAAAAGGACAAGGATACTTTCACCTTCAAACAAGGATGGGCATTTCCCCGGAAAGTTTACTTTAATGGCGACGAGTGCATGCTCCCACCACCAGATACTTACCCATACTTGCCCAGCTTTGCCCATCATAGCTCTGTTGCTGTTTCAACATTGTTAATTTCCCTGCTTTTGCTTTTGAACGCGCTCTTTTGACCCTTCCTCCAGTTTTGTCAGTCACTGAAAATTTTGAAGCTAAGATAACACATGCTCCGGGTATTCGGATCACAGGTACATTCTTTGATAGAACAAATTGGTCATGAGTCATGACTATGTCTATGTGCTGCAACAATTTTTGTATGTGTATTTAAATATCACACTCAATTCCAAAGGAAAATTGAGCTTCTTGGTTCATTATAAGCATTCATATGTGAAAACTTCATTCATGTCATGCAACATTCACAGAATGACAACATTTTATAGAGTATAGCATTTACATATATGCTGCATTGAAATACTGGAAAAGCAAATGTACCTCAGCTGAGGTATACAGCAACATTGCAACACAATCGATGGAAAACACAAATGGCTGGAACAAAATGTGACTGCTGTCGCAATGTATCTTTATACAGCTAGTCATTACAAGGCGATAGTGGAGAAAACAAACTCATCAAACAATTTAATATAGACAGTCATGTGCTCGTGAATTGACCGTTATTCTCATACAACCTAGAAACACTATGAACTTGACAAACCTACAAAATACAATTAGACTTCTAAAGTAGACTATGGCAGCAACCCTTTTAGGATGAAACTAATTTTTGCAAACCATTGAGAATGCCGGTCTTCTCAGTAACAAGAGTGTCAACTCAAAGATAACCAACAGAAACAGACACTTTGCACTATACAAGGTATATACTTTTAAATGTGAGCAAGGACAACTGCCATCGAAGACATCAGTGTCACCACTAATTTAAGCAGAGAGACCTCCCCCCTAGAACCATCATTTGGCAAGTATGGATACGCATCAGGAGGAGGCATCACACAGTTATCACCATTGAAATAAATTCTGCGAGGAAAAGCCCACCCCTTCTCAAAAGTGAAAGTTGATGCATCCTTTCGGAATAGAAGCTCTGACTGGACATTTCCTAAAGGACCAGCTTGCATCAGCAGATCATTGTAGAATTTCACACCCCATAGCATAGCAGTGTCATCTATAAAAACAACCATAAGGTTAGTCGTATAATTTTCAATCTCTCAGCTGATCCTGTAGGTATATCTAGGAACCAATTGTAGATTAAATTAATAATGGAGAAGCAGATCTCTTTTTAGGATATCCCAAGAATTGTCACATTCTAAAACTAGGTGCTTTCATTCCTAAATTACTTCCAATTGTAGGTGCCTTAAAACAGTTCTCAGAAAGCCTTTTTCTTACACAAGGAAAGAGTAGAATAAACTTCAACTTTTCTTAACATATATGGAAAAAATAACTATAATGAGAATATTACTAGACGGACAGAAAAGATGGTGATTTATCTAATTCACATATAAAACAATAGCAACTATGATGTCAGAGCATTTACAATCAAATTGAGCACTTACTGATTGCTCCATAAGGAGTCAGTGACTTGTAATTGAAGCTGAATAACGTAGTGAGGTTATCAAAGTTCGGATGTTGGACAACTAAGTTCCATTGTGTATAATTCATCCGGTAATTGAAGTTTGTTATAGTGATCTTCACTCTCCAATATTCCTTGTAGTTGACTTTGACATGCCAATGAATTCGAATTGGGCACATATGATTTGTGCACTGTACCAAAGGAACGTAGTTGGTCTTCCCATGGTCTGATACAACTGAAGCTAAGTGCGGCGTTTTTGAACTGCAATGAAGCTTGAGAAGGAAGTAATTAACAAAAAAAAAACTTAATAGAAACAATGCCAAAGAATTGGTCAAAATAATTTGAGGGTCATACTCTACACAATTCCAACGCTGAGTGCCATTAGTCTGACAGCCACAAGTGCACGTCGGGCAGGGCACGATCGTATCATTGTAGAAGGATGAGAGGGAGACGCAACATGTAGGAGTTTTTTGAGCTAGGAACTGTGAGTAAGTGCATGTGACATTCCAAGTCACTGTCAAGGACAGTACAAAAGGTTAGAACTTAATCTTCAATAGACTGCAACTGTATTATCTTAAATGAGCTTGAAAATAAATTTTGTAAGGTTAAGATGTTCAAGCAGTTACATCTATGCTTTGTAAGGGATATAACAGCCTTCTGAGAGAAGGGTTTCCATATTTCTAATTGGGAAGTTACTTTTTGGACGAGGCGTCGAGGTGCTAAAACTTTAGGCACACGAGTTCCCAACCATAAGAATGGAAAATGCATATAGTTGAGCCAAGAAACTTACTCATAGCCTGTGTCACTCTTCTCCCATCTGCAGAGACGAACTTAGTGGGTTTAACAATTTTAGCGGGTCCACAAGTATAACCAGGCCCTGGAGCCTTTAAAGTGAAGTTCTTAGGTACTCTAACTGTTTTATTGGTTGTTCCAGCTGCACCAACACTAATTTGGAATGAGCTAACGGCAGTGGTTGGATCTTGCCCCCATGAGTTGATCACTCCTCCCTTGCAGCAATTTGCAATCTGTTGGTTGTAAGGAGTTCCGGGCAGCAGGTCAACAACTGTTGGATCTTTCTTACAGCAATGTGGAATATTTCCTTTATATTTTGAACAATCTCCCTGCTCTGTTGTTTGACCTCCCATCATGGTCCATATGACTTCCTTCTTTGCCCACGTCCAGCCCAAAGTCCAGCCTGGCGCTTGTATGTGCCTATATTGTTGAAAGTTGTAGATCGTCACCACAGCCTGTTAAAAACCAAACGGATAATGATCAGACACTTCCTATTTGAGAAATTCTTATAAGAAGATGAAATAAAGAGGAGGAAGTCAAAAGAGACTGTCAAGCTTCAAAGGCTAAGAAACTACGCCATGTAGGCTGAAGCTATCCAAGATGAATAAAGTTCCAATCTAGATCTAGCTGCTCAAGAACTTGAAACTTGGTCTTGTATTAACGAGTGAAAGAAAAAATGCTTAGAAACAGCATCCGAATTCGGGGAAAAACGATTTAACTTGAAAAAGGGGGTGAAGGGTTAAATCTATTTAGCTAATATCATACTCAGAAAACTGAAAACTGAAAGAGCAATATGCATGTCAAATTGGGAGTTGCAGACGGTGAACTATATGCTATATAGTTCGGATTAGCTTATAGGATGAAGGTGATCCATCTAAGGAAGGTCCAGATTATTACGAGATGATCAAGGTTACTGTTACTTACCACATATCCATCAGGTGTCCAGGTGATCACATCCCATTTTATTGTAATGTTTCCATTTGGATCAAGTGCATCAAAGGCGTCTATTGGAAAAAGGAAGAAACAAAAAGTAAAATATTGTCAAAAACCGCCTATACATTCCCACACACATGCAATGCAATAGAGGCGGGGGACGTGAAGGCATGTCAAAGATGCATTGTTGGTATTGGTACACAAAATAAATAAAAAAATATCTGCATTTGGTATGGTGGAAAATGTTTCCATGAAATATATCTTCCACAAAAAGTTTTTACTTTGAGAAATCATTTTTTGGAAAGAAATCTTAATGTCCATTTTAAATGCCACCTGTTATATAGTTGTGGTACCTAAAGTTCTCCAATATCAAAATGACCAACTACAGAGAGAATACCATTATTATTTCAGATCTTATAATTCTAGACTTATGTTTAGGTTCATAGTCAACAGACAAGCGATCTAAGTACAGAGTCACTGATTCAGGCACCGGACTCAACTATAATGATTTCCTTCATTCTTGTATTTCAGAGAATGCAGAAGTGTTACTTTTTCCATTATCCTGTTGAAATGGTCAAGGTACTAACCTTGATAAGAGCGAAAATGGGATCGACCCGACAAAGTTTTACTGTAATATTCATTATATTACACTACCACACCTCAAGAGAAGCAAAAGTAGTTTCTTTTAGAATCACATTGATTACTCCTCAAGGTTTCAATTGACCCAAGATTTTTTTTATAGAGAAACTATTAGCACTACTCCAATTACTTCATTTCGTGCTAGAAAAGGCATAAAAATTCCAATCTTGGAGTTAAATTTACCAAGTATAGACCAAATCAACACCCAATGTTCTGTTGCCTAATTCTAACGCTAGGATTTTGCTTGGCCAGAAATATATTACTGAAATTTCCAGTAAAATTTCAGTTCACACAGTCCCTCACTAAAAGAGAACTAATCATTACCATAAAAATCAAGTTTTTGATACTTAAAATCATAAATAAACATGCTAATCTCTCAGAAAATACGCCAGTAAAAGCAATTCCTGTCTTTCAAGAACAATCCCACATTAAGAGAAAACGGAGTTACCAAGTAGTTTAAATCAAAAGGAGTAATCAAGAACTAAACTAAAGTAAACCCAAGATAGCTAACCTGTTGAGGAGAAGCTGAAGAAAGAAAGCAAGAAGAGTAAAAGTATGGTGGAAGCAGAAATTCTGGTAATAAATTTGAACAAATCCATTGGGGTGATAGCAGCTGTAGATTTTCTTGAGCTTTTTATGGGGTTCTGTCCGCTCAAGTTCTGCTACTGAAGCGAGTAAAAGAGATGGACAAAGAGTGAGGTGGCGAGTGGAAGAAGCTAGAACTCTCAGGCTCACAAGCCAAGCTTGTCCATTGAAATAAATTGGACTTTATTGAAGTCCTCGTAGATAGTAGCCAAACAACTGGCCACTATTACACTATATATGGTGTTTTAGAAGTAATCAGTATATATTTCACTAAGAAATTACCAATTGAATAAATAAATATTTTTGTTACTTTTCCTATTCCCTTTAATTTTTTTTCTATCTTTTATCTGTTGTAATCAACCACCAACTCCTGTTTCTAATTCATCCTTATTGTCTTGCATTACTTAAGAATTTTTTTGTTTTATCTTTGACGAGAGAGGTTGTCCTCAGGATCGTGAGTTTGACTCACCATGGGAGAATCAAAAAAAAATCTTTGGGAAGAATAAGAGAAATGAAAAACATTAGTAAATTTAGTCTTTACATATTGGCGTTCAAATTAAACGAACTAAATTGGGTGTTGGAGATGGTTTGCTTGGGATATAGGCTACCTTTGGGACATAGTCTTAGGGAATTAGAGGACTAATATAAATAAGGGTCCACATACCAAATAAAAACATTCTATTGTAATTATTGCCATTTTTAGTAGAAAACAAAGATCCGCAGATCTAATATGGCAAATTTCAGAAATCCTTAGTTCCCCACTCTGCCCCGGTCATCGTTAATAATTAGAGTACTAGAATTTGGTGACCAGAAGCGGGACCGTGTTTAAGTAGTTAAATGAATACGAGGTTGTCAAATTATCAAATTATGCATAATAATTGGTAAATGATAATCAGAAAAGAGAGAATTTTTAGTTAATTTATTCGTTGACTAAACCAAATGTTTTAGGGGAAATACATGCTACAAAATAATGCATAACCAAACACAAAAATACAAAACATGTGAGCCTTCCAAGGGATTTGACATTCATTCACCCCAAAAAAAAAAGAAAATTATTCTCCTGCACTAGATAGCGTCATAGTGTGTAACTCTTAAGAATCATGAAAGGGTACTGTCTAAGTTCTTTTCAAAGTTGTTTTTGCATATTTTGACATCCACAAATATTTTTTTGATGATATAACTCTTATTATTTAGATTGAACTTTGAGTTTACTTTTAAACTTGATTCTAGATGGTAATTTAAATTTCTTTATATTTTTAATTCTTATTTGTCGTTATTTGGAGTTGATTGATTTCATACATTAATTATCACCGTTTACGATTAGTAAGGTCTGGAATTCTTCTGTTCTTTTAATTCCTTCTAGGGTTTCAATTCGACTGTATTCAAACAATAAAAAATCACAAAAATAGTGATATTCGATTGTATTCAATTTTTGTATTCATTCGTAGCTGCTTTTACACTATATTCAATTTACTTTATTAATTTGGTTGTATCCAAACAGCAAAAATTTAAAAAATACAGGAATCTGCGACAAAAAATAACCTTCGAAATACATAAATACAGGCGAAAATACAAAAAAAAATGTATTTGCATTGAAAAATACAGAATACACTTTAATTTGAGTGTATTTGTTCAGAATATAATGTATTTGTCTCATTGTATGTGACTCAATAGCGAAGAAGAGAAGAAGTCACTGGAGATGACGTCTTCCGGTCAAGCAAAACACTATATACATTATATTAAAACTAAAAAATGAAGATGAACAAAAAACCAGCTAGATCTTAGAATACGCTATCACATTGTATCTACCAAAATCCAGTCAGACGAATAAAAAATTCAGCCATAATGTGTATTTCGTTGGATTTAATTCGGCCACAAGAAATAAAATATACTCAACATTTGAGAAATTACACTCGGATCTAAGAAAATCCAGTCGGTTGGCCATGATTCCAGTCAGAGATGATGCGCCGATGGAGGTAATGACGAGGCCGATCTGGATTGAGGAAATTGAGTTACTAAATTGAGGAATTTTCATAGCGAGTGAGAAAAGAGAGTACAAAGGAGAAAAATAAAATAAAAGGAGGTCGAACGACAGTGTTCCGACGGGTTTGGCCGGCGGTGGTTCTGTGGTGAGATTGTAATACCAGACAGATAGAGAGTTTAGGGAAATGAGGGAGGTGGCTAGGCTATAGTACGAAGATGAGGGACGTGGCTAGGTGTCACGACCCAATTTCCATACCCGGTCGTGATAGCGCCTCTCGTGAAGACAAGGCCAGCCAACTAACCCAATCCGTTTCTTTAACAATTATTAAACATAAATGTATAGATAAATATAGCTTAACGACAATAATAACCAGTATGTACAACCCAACTCAACCCGACCGGGGTGTCACAAGTCACGAGCATCTAAAGAAACCTGAACACAACTACAGGGCCAATAATAATATATAAGGAAAAATCCTGGAAATCAAAAGACAACATCCGGTGCCGCGAACGCTGGCGGTCACCTTACTCAGCTACAATAGCCATACCTTCAATCAGCTAATAACCCGCTACCGGGTGAACAATACCTGCAACTGCACGCGAGGTGCAGGGAGTAAAGTGAGTACTTCCAGCTCAGTGAGTAATAAGAGTAAATAATAACTAAGAGGCAAGAAATCACGTAAGAGCAATCCATCGTGCTATATAGGACAGTACCACTCTTTGAGAAAACAGTAAAGCCGTGAAAATCCTTTAGAAAATATCTGGCTCAGTTTAAAACCTCTTTTGAAAACATCCTTTTCCAACAGTCAAGCAAATGAACGCGTAATCAGATAGTGCAAGTCCGCACATAAGACAGCCCCTCGGGCACAGCACTCCACAAACAGTTAACACCAGGGCGTCTGGTAAACAGTACAAGNNNGAATTTATCAAATTTCAACACGTACTCTTCAATTACACATGAGATCTTTCTAGCATACACATAGGGACCATGCCACTTAAGAACACTCCGCAGGAGATAACCCACCTGCTTCACCTCAATTTAGTATTTCAGCACACCTTCCATCGACATACACAGAACACAGTCATTTAGTCTTCCTGAGTTTGAACTCATACCGCCACACGTAATGCACTTCACTCCCCAGCTAGGAGACACGAAAATATTCTTCACGCGCCCATAACTCGGACTACACATCAAATCACAACAGGAATCGAACACTTAACAGCTCATCTATTATTCAGCAGACTCCTTAGTCACTACCAAGATCACATGGATACATCTCGCAGTACAAACATACTCATCACATGGATATCCAACCGCCATTCCGGCTAATAAGGACAATACTGAACATAAAAGTTCAAAACACTTGCTCACACAATCAGCACCTCAGTGCTTAAGCCATAGGCAAAGATCCGGCCTCAAGTCCTCCAGACTGGCCCAACATCAAACTCACGGAGATTACATCTCGCCCCTTGATCGGGGAATCACTAGCCATCAAGGCACATAAGGAACTGAGCGCTCACGTGCGCATACAGACGTGTGGAAGGAATTTCAAGAGTTATATCTCAAGCTGAATCAAGTACGCACGATAAGAATTCCAAGAAAGTGAAGTTTTCCAAAAGGTTCTGCAGCCTCTCGAGGATAAATACAGACGTCTCCATACCGATCCGCGAGACTCTACTAAACCTGCTCATGACTTGTGAGACCTAGTAACCTAGGCTCTGATACCAACTTGTCACGACCAAATTTCCATACCCGGTCGTGATGGCGCCTCTCGTGAAGACAAGGCCAGCCAACTAACCCAATCCGTTTCTTTAACAATTATTAAACATAAATGTATAGATAAATATAGCTTAACGACAATAATAACCAGTATGTACAACCCAACACAACCCGGCCGGGGTGCCACAAGTCACGAGCATCTAAAGAAACCTGAACACAACTACAGGGCCAATAATAATATATATAAGAAAAAAAAATCCTGGAAATCAAAAGACAACATCCGGTGCCGCGAACGCTGGCGGTCACCTTACTCAGCTACAATAGCCATACCTTCAATCAGCTAATAACCCGCTACGGGGTGAACAATACCTGCAACTGCACGCGAGGTGCAGGTAGTAAAGTGAGTACTTCCAACTCAGTGAGTAATAAGAGTAAATAATAACTGAGAGGCAAGAAATCACGTAAGAGCAATCCATCATGCTATATAGGACAGTACCACTCTTTGAGAAAACAGTAAAACCGTGAAAATCCTTTAGAAAATATCTGGCTCAGTTTAAAACCTCTTTTGAAAACATCCTTTTCCAACAGTCAAGCAAATGAACGCGTAATCAGATAGTGCAAGTCCGCACATAAGACAGCCCCTCGGGCACAGCACTCCACAAACAGTTAACACCAGGGCGTCTGGTAAACAGTACAAGCAATAGCATGGATGCCAATGATATGAGAGTGCTAAATGTCATGACACGTAGTACAAATAGGAACCAATGCATGAATGCAATGCAATGCATATGACCGCTGCGGCGCGCAGCCCGATCCATTTGAGTACCCGCGCTCACTGTGGGGGTTCAGACTCCGGAGGGGCTCCTACAGCCCAAGCGCAATATCAATATCACACCGCTGCGGCGCGCAGCCCGATCCATCCTCAGTCCAGAAATGCACATAAGCCCCTTGGGCAATAGTAAAATAACAGTCTCAACTCAAAACGTCAGTAAAATATCATTTAGGTTTTCAAATCTTAGAAAGATAGCTGAGTTTGCGAAACAGTATTTTAAACCTTGGACTGTGATAAAATAATATGCAAAGTAATGCAAAAACAGTGATATCAATCCCTGAAGGATTCAAACAATTGGCACGAAGCCCAAATATAGCAATCAAACCAAATAATGATGATAACAAGTAGTTTCAGTCAATTACGCAATAAAACCAACAACCCGGACGGACTAAGTCACAATCCCCAACGGTGCTCTACCCCACGCTCATACCTGGCGTGCAAGTCACCACAATACAACACTATGATGTGCAAATCCGGGGTTTCAAACCCTCAGGATATCATTTACAAGTATTACTCACCTCGGACCGGTGAAATCCCTAGCTCGCGACGCCTTTGCCCCTCAATCGGCCTCCACGCGCGTCGAATCTAACCAAAACCAGAGCGAATATATCATAATATGCTAAGGGAACAATACCCAATCGAAAACAATCGAAAATTAGCAAGAATCTCGAAACTAGCAAAACC